TGTGACCCTCACATCTGGGGTCCAGCAGTTTCAGCTCCTATAGTTGCTATGACAACTCAGCACCAAAGCAGCATCGTTCTGCCTAACTCCCAGGACCCACCAGGTCTGTTCTTCCTCCTGGGCAGAGGCAGGGTACAGAAAGCCACGCTGGTTGCTAGTGTTGTGGGTGACCTTGGGTGTTTTTTCATAAAACTCCTCAGCATTGGCTCTTGAGTGTGGGTCTAGTAGTCGAGGACCAGAGTCCTGAGTACCTGCTGGTACACCCAGGTAGAGCATGTGTCTCCCTGGAGGCCTGGAGACTACTTTCTAGCTACTTCCAACAACTTGCCGTTGTTTATTGAGGGCTATTTTTTCCTCATTTGTGAAACTGACAGTAAGACACATCCTACCCATGCCGTGGTGAAATTGCGGTGAAATTCGTATTACGGAAAAGATGGGAAACCAAAGACGTTTTGCTTATACCAGAGTGAAAGCGGGGGCTGGGGAGCTGGTTTAATCAGTGCCGTGTTTGGGCCGCAAGCACACGGGGCTTGTGTTCAGTTCCTAGAACCAATGTAAAAAAGCCAGATGTGGCGGAGCATGCTCATACATTTCTGCACCAGGGAGGCAGAGACGAAGCATATCCCTACCGCTCACTGGCCAGCCAGCCTAGCATACTTAGCAAGCTCCAGGCCAGTTCAAGACCCTGCCTTAAAATTTTTAATGAATTAAAGGGTCAATGGTACCCCAAGTTGTCCTCTGGCCTGTACACACACACACACACACACACACACACACACACACTCACACACTCACACACTCACACACATACACACACAAGTGGAGGTGGTGGGGAGAACATACTCTGCTCTGCAGGGGCCCCTCTGCTCCTTCCTCAGACCCTTGAGACCTGAGGACATTCTCCCTCACAGAATGACCTTTCACAGTTCCAAGCTCAGTTTCGCTTTTATCAGAAACAGGCAGCAGGACAGAAGCCATCAGGAGGGAAGGACACCTGGTCCCTGTTGCACTAAAGAAAGTCCCGTAACCTGTCCGCTCACATACTCAGAGTCCACCCTCTGCTTCAGCCCTTCAGACACCGTTCCTCCAGCATCAGGAGACAGCTCGTCTGGATGACCTCTTGCAGTAGAGACAGCTTGGCATGTCCCCCCACCCCACCCCTCCTGTGGCTGAGTCTGAATTCTCCGCACATGACGAATTTCCTAGCACGCAGGGCGCCTCTCCTGGTTGCCCCCTCACCGCCAAAGCAGCTTCCTCTCTTTTTATCCAGTGCTCAACAACTGTCAGGCTGCAACAAACATGCCTTAAATCCACAGTCTTCCCGTTGCCCAGCAACAACTTCCCTCCCGGATAAATCTGGGCTTCCTGTAGCAGCTGCTGGGAAAGGAGCCTAGCAGCCCGGGGCTGTCTGTCACTTGCCATTAACTCTGGTCCACATGCTTTCAAGACAAGCTGCCCATCCCTGACTCTGGAGTCCCTCACTGACTCCCAGAGACTGTGTTAGCCTCACAAAGACATTTCTAACCCGACGGTCCTTAACTACCCACGTGTTGAGTATTTCTTCAACTTAGAAGCGAATGTTGTTTCCAGATCGGCTTCTTTGAGTTAGAAAAAAGATTCCTCCGTCATAGGCCACTCGTCTCATGTGCTGAAGGAGTGACAGCTACTGAATCGGTAAAAACTATCAAGACGTTTAGGGAGCTGATATGCTTTATTTCACGGTGGGATACCGACTGAGTATTACGAGGGGGAGGAATGTATTTTGTCCTCCAAGAATCTTAACAGATGACTTTAGGAGTCCTCTATGGGAGGACCTTTATATCACTTTCTTAAGCAAAAGTTCACTGCTCAGGGACCATGCAGACCAACCACAACTAATAAAAGAGATATAGAGAAACACTGCCACAACCTTATTTGCATAACCAGTCTTTCTTAAGAAGGCTAATTGGACCTTAATCTCAAGTTATCCGTACCAAATCCAACTATGACCCAAAGTTATTACTGGTCATTTGAAATATCAAGAGAATTTCTTGATATAGCTGTATGTAATAGTGTTATTTGCCATTTTGGTCCCTGACCCTTTTTCTAGAAATGTTTCCACATTTCCATTCAAATAAAGTTACAGCCTCTTTCGGTTCTTTTGACAGGAACAGATCTTAGGAATAGGAATTGATAAAGTGGGGAGGAAATTCAAGGAAGATGTGAGCCCCTGAGGAAGTTACCTTATAATTTACAGCAACATCAGTTAAGAAGCTGGTGAGCACACACAGAGGAAGCCAGGCACGGTTCTGAGGTGTAAATGGCCCCTCCAAAACACAAGTCCCTCATTATTTATCATCCCCATGAAAAAGAAGGAGGAAGGAAAATGCAGGTAGGACAGCAAACACACACTAGAGCAGTGGTCCTCGGCCTTCCTAATGCTGCGACCCTTAACACAGTTGCTCATGATGTGGTGATCCCCAACCATAGAATTATTTTATTGCTACTTCATAACTGTAATTTTGCTACAGTTAGGAATAGTAATGTAGGTGTCTGATATCTAATATATGACCCCTGTGAACAGGTCATTTGACTCCCAGAGGGGTCACAACCGATAGGTTGGGTACCTCTGCCTCAGAGCTTGGCAAATGCATGATAGATTATTGATAGATAATACCCAGTTATTAGCAAGATCAAAAAAAACAAAGTGTTGACGAGACACAAAGATGCATCCCAGGCCCTGGCCCCAGGCTTCCTGTCCCCCAGATTCCTAATCTTATTCTTATCTGGCGATCTATCCAGGCTGATTCTGGCTTTCCATTCCTCTCTCCACCCAGAATTCCAGACTCCCCACCGGCTTCTGTGCGTGGCTACTGCCCTCACCCTGACAATCGTCCCATACCTTCATCAGCTCAAGTGTCACCTTCCTCGTCCTTCTAGTGGAGCTGACTACTCCCTCCCCTGCAGGGACACCGCTCATGAAGCCAAACAGTTTAGGAGAATCTGGCTCTTTTCTACAAGATCATAGTCCTACTGTTCGTTAATACAACAGGTGCTCACGGATCGCCTCCGTGCGCTGAAGATGTAAAATAAAAATAAAGCCTATTTCTGTGCTTAAGCTCATAGTCTAGCACAGTGATTCTCAGGCTTCCCAATACTTCAACCCTTTAACACACTTCCTCAACTTCCCTCACCTCAACCATAAAATTATTTTGTTGTTACTTCATAACTGAAAATTTGCTACTGTTATGAATCAGGGTGTAAATATCTGATATGCAGGCTATGTGACCCCCAAAGGGATCATGACCCACAGTTACAGAACTACTGATCAAATACAAAGACAGATATATTAAAAAATAATGGGCTGGGTGGTGGCGCACACCTTTAATCCCAGTGCTTAGGAGGCAGAGGCAGGTTAATCTCTGAGTTTGAGGCCAGCCTGGCTATAAGGAGAAACCCTGTCTCATATCCATATCCATATCCATATCCATATCCATATCCATATCCATATCCATACACACACACACACACACACACACACATATGAAAGACAACTGTGTGTGAGGTTACATGCATTTAATCTCAGCATTCAAGAGACAGAGACAAGGAGGCTGGTCTGCCTATGAGTTCCACAACAGCCAGGGCTATGTAGAGAGACCTTGTCTCAAAAAAATAAAATAATAGTGATAACAACAATAATAATATGTCTCTTCTTATCTCTTACAGTCTTTAGGAGAAAAGATGGACAAGATTAGTGAGAGCGTTCACTGACATGTAATTTGACCTGTTTACATCCTTCTTCCCTTCCTGCCCACTGAGCTTAACCCCATCAGCCTATGGCAGAAACAGGGATTAAGGTGACTTACCCACCATCCATTACCACTAAAGCTATTTACAAACAATTTGAAAAGAAGTCTCAGTAAGACGTGTCAGGCTGAGGGCATAAAGCATAAGAGCAGGCCTACCATGGAAAGAAAGAAAGGCAAGGATACAGGCCAGAGATAGGAACTCAAGTAGTTCATTCTCAACTCCCTGCTTCTAAGCTCTTGACGGAAACTAGAGTGGCCCAAGCTTCCCTCAGGAGAACCACCCTACAGAGTGAAAGGGCCGAGCCTCACAGCTTGTGATCCACAGATACCTGAATGAGGAGGTAATTCAAGCTTTGTCCAGGCCGCTTTCTAGGCCACTCAGGGTGCTCCCTTGAATTTGAAAACCATTGCCTTAACACTTTGAACTCAACCCGAAAACACTCTTTAGGGTAGGCTGCCAAAGATTCAGTTCTGTTCTGAAGCTCTGACTAATAAAGCCATGCAGGACTTGAACCTGGTGCTCAAAGTGTTCACATCAGTCTCTAAGACTGGAAAGCAGCAAAAATGAGGACTTTGGTCTTCCCAATCAAGACAGAAAATGATCAAACTGTCCTGAGTTGTCCACTGGCAAGCCCTACCCAAATTCTGCTCTCAGCTGGAGAACTGACCAGGGAATTTCTCATTCACGCTTTGAAGGAAAACTGTAGCTTTGAAGGAAAAGTGAAGGAATTGGTGGAATCTCCCATGACAGAGCATTGGTGAACAGAGGCAGAGTGACAGCCTGCCCAGATACCCAGAAAGGACACAAAGGGGACAGACATGAGCAATCTGCAAGGAGGGTCTGCAGAACCTGGAGGTGAACAGATGGGTGACCTCTGCATAGCCTATCTTTCTCGATTGTTCTTCATATTGTTTTTTGAGACAGGCACCTCTCTCTCTCTCTCTCTCTCTCTCTCTCTCTCTCACCTAGATCTCACTGGATTGGTCTAGGCTGGCTGGACAGCAAGTTCCGAGGATCCCCCTTATCTCTGTCTCCCCAGCACCAGATTACATGTTTGTGTCATCAAGCCAAGGGTGTGGGTGTCAGGGATCAAATTTATATCCTGGTGCTTACTTGGCAATCACACTTCACTAAATAAGCAATTTCCTCAGCTTTTAGTGTACTTTTAGTGTAACTGCACTAAAAGTATTTTTTTTTCCTGTTGTTTCCAGCTCCCCACACTCCTAGACAAAAGTTCTCGAGGAATCAACTTGAGATTTTGGGGAGAAATAGTATCTGACATGTCACCCAGAATGCAAAAGGTAAGAGGCCCAGTGTCACTAATGGTAGGTTTATTATGCCTTCATGCTGTTTTAACTACACTCATTATATCAAGTTATTGAATTGCACCCCTCTCCTGTTAAGCAGAAATTCATTTGCTCTTCCTGTCTAGTAATTTAAAGGCATGCCCTAAACCATCTGTGCTTCTAGGTAGGACGTAAAAAAAAGTAGCATCCTTATGGTGCTACACCAAGACCTAAGTACCAGCAGAACCTACAGCTTGTCTGCAGTAGCATGATTCATCACAGACTTTGCAACTGACTCTAAGGCTTTCTAGGACTGAGTGGGCAGTAACCACTGTGTCACCCATTACACTAGCAAATACTTCCACGGTGATTATGAGTACAATTCTTGGCACTTTACCTCGATGGATTCACTTCATCCCTCCAGAGTGACTGTTCTATGTTCTGTTATGAAATATGTATACAACTTGTTTAATATCTGATTACATAAAACTTCTCAAATATGGAAGTTGGCTCCTCTACTTAGGAGTTGATTGATGATGGAGACAGGAAGAGGATAGACAGATACAGTCACAAGCCCTTTTGAATATCCAGTCAACAAGGAAGAGAAGCAGGAAATGGGCAGCTCTTCAAGTGTGATGGATGTAACAGAAGGGAAGCGAAACAGAAAATGTGATTTTCCCTGAACTTTTCCTCTTTGATTTTCCCAGCCGTGTTAGGCTCAGCCAACTTGGAAAATAACATGCTTGGAATCTGTATTTATAAAATTAAGCATCAATCAGGGCAAAGCAGCCACCCTGCTTGGCAGAGAGAGTGAGAGAAGGGCCCATGGCACCACCTGATGCAATGGGAGCCTCTAGCATTTTTCTCCTCATAGCATTTAAAAAACCCAGATCTCTATAATAGTGGTGAGGTCGACAGAGAGTGCAAATGCTTCCCAAAGCGCTATCAACTCTTTCAGTTCTGTGTGGGCACTGCAGAAGATTCCTTGCCTGTTTAGATAACAGGTTTAAGCATCTGTGAACCAGGTTAAAGCAAATGGCCCAGTTTCTATTAAACTGATATCAGACCGTTTGACCCCAGCACAGCCCTTCACTTCTCAGTGCTTTGATTAAATAAGCAACCTAATAGTGATAATGACCCCTTCTGGTCCTAAGACCCACTGTTGTTGAAGCAATTTGAGTTTCTGACTTTCTTACTGAGGCATAGACTGTTATTATAAGCCTGACTCACTGCGTGGACTCCACACAGCGCTCATCAGTTTGGGAAAGCAAGTGTTGGCATGTGTACAGAGAGAGAGACCACAGGTAAACATCGCTGATACAAGGGGGAGAATGTTTTCCGTCACACCTGGTTGAGTCCTAATGGTTTTTTATCTTGTTTTGTTTTGTTTTAATTTCCAAGTACCTTAGACCGTGAATAGTAAGGTGTGGTTAGGGTATAAACACAGCACTGTTTTTATTTTACATTTTCTCTAAAATAAAGCCAAGCGGCCTTATGGGAACCAAGGCACTGGTGCTATTTGCCAGCGTCTCCCAACCTAGTTCTCAGCATCACAGATCTGCCTTTCAAGGATGAAGCCACAGGTATGATGACACCAGAGAGAGGAGAAGAACCCCAGATTCCCCCTTAGTTGACACAGAATTTGAAAACGGTCTTCCAATAAGTGAGACAGCTTCTGTTCTTTGCCTGAATCTTTAAATACATGCAGGCTCGCATGCACAGTCACATGCTCACTTGGCGTTGGGTGGGAGGGAAGTATGGAAGGAGGGAGGGAGGGAAAGAGGGACAAAGGAGGGAGGGAGGGACGGACGGAGGGAGAGAGGGAGGAGGAAAGGAGGGAGGGAGAGAGTTCAAACCACACATTTCTGTTGAATGGGCACACTCACATGTGATGAAGTTAATACAAATATGTTTTGTGGAGCCAGAGAGGTGGCTCAGCAGTTAGGATTACTTGCTCTTCATGAACAGGACCAGAGATCACGTAACAGCCTCCAATTACCTGTAATCCCAGATCTAGAAGGGCTGATGTCCCCTTCTAGACCCTCTAGTCACCTGCACGCACATGAGAACACACAGGCTCAGACATTGACACACGCATACACATAAGTGAAAATAAATCTCAAAAAGGTTAAGTTTCCAAATACAGAACACCAAATTCTAAAGTTTTTAATCATAGACATCTGCCGTGGTTTTGCACTTCCAGAACACAGACATTTCTCCATTATCTTAGTTCTCAGTTTTTCTAGTATCTCCACCTTGACGGCTTAACAACTAGCTTATGGAGATATCTTCTCTTCATTTTCCAAGGACACAATGCCAAGGAACCCAAACAAAGGAAAGCAGACAATATTAGCATGCTTGGTGTTCATGATTTTCTCCACATAGACGACAGTGGGTTTGGGGGATTTTTCCCGCAGCTGGATTCAGAATTACAGAGATTATATGTTTTCCTTTAAACATGGAAATCAGCCTTGGTTCTGTCTGCTTTAAGATTATTCAAGGCCAAGTTTGCAGAGATGGCTCAGCGATTAAGAGCACACTGACTGCTCTTCCAGAGGACCCGGGTTCAGTTCCCAGCATCTACGTGGCAGCTCACAGCTGTCTGTGACACCCTCACACAGAGATACATGCAGGCAAAACACCAATGTATGTGAAACAAATAAGTCAATAAAAAGAGTATTCAGAGCCTTTCTTTCATCCTAGTTTATTCATCGGCCAAGTGTCCAAGACTTGCTGTGGGCAACCAGACCTCTCCTGCAGAACAGCGGTCCTGAGACCTTCACACAGCTGATGGGCATCCTGTCTGACCTCCTGTGTGGGTACCCAAAAGGAGGAGGCTCTCGGGTGTTCTCCTTTAACTGGTATGAAGACAATAACTACAAAGCCTTCCTGGGGATTGATTCGGCAAGGAAAGAGCCTACCTATTCCTATGACAAAAGAACAAGTAAGTTTTCCCGTATCCCATAGGCAAATTGGATTCTGGTGTTGGTTAAGATAATGGGTTGGGCAAGATGGCTCAGCTGGCAAAGCTCTTGCCACACAAGTACAAGTTCAGTCCCCAGAATCCATGAGAGAGAGAGAGCGAGAGGAGAGGAGGGGAAGAAAGAAAGAAAGAAAGAAAGAAAGAAAGAAAGAAAGAAGAAAGAAAAGAAAGAAAGAAAGAAAGAAAGAAAGAAAGAAAGAAAGAAAGAAAGAAAGAAAGAAAGAAAGAAAGAAAGAAAGAAAGAAAACCAAGTGAGGTGCCTACTTATCCCACTTATAATTCCAGCACTGGTTGGGAGAGTCTAAGACGAGAAGACACCAACAGTTTGCTGGCCAGCTGGCCTAGCCTACTCAGCGCGTTTCAAGCTGGTGATAAAACAAGGTACACGGCACACCTCAGGTTGTCCTCTGACCCACACACACATGCGCACACATGCATACACTCGACTGTACACACACACACACACACACACACACACAGAGGCACTAATACAAAACAAAAATGATGTGTTAACACAATGGCTCTCAACCTGTGGTTTGCAATCCCAAAAAGACCATCAAAAAATGCGAATATTTACACTACGATTCATAACCGTAGCAAAATTACAGTTATGAAGTGGCAATGAAAATAATTTCACGGTAGAGGGGCGACTCCACATGAGGAACTGTATTAAAGGATCACGGTGTCAGAAAGGTTGAGGACCACTGAGTCAACACTCCTAAGAAATACCAATCTCAGTGCTGATTCTCATTAAGTGGCCTTGGGCAAAGAGAGGTCTCCCAGAAATTCTCCTTCCCCTTGTAGAGGAGAGTGGCACTCATAGATGACTGGACTCAAGCCATGGAAAGCACCCAAGCCCACTTGGAAAGGGAAGAGAGGGGACATTTCCCACTGATGTAACTGAACTGGGGTTAAGTTCCAGAGGAAGAGAAGAGTAATAAACGAGGAGGCAACCCAGAGTCACAACAAAGCTCAGGTCAATAGGGTCCTGGCAGGCAACAGCACTGGCAAGCCCCTGGCAAGCCATCTGCCTCACTTTCACTGTTTTGGGGGTGGGGTGGGCTTTGACATTACAGAAAGACAGCAAGAAAGACACAGCAAAGGGAGTCAGATCCGGAGACAGCAGCGCATAACAAAGAAGAGAAACAGTTAATAGACACAATTATTTGTGACTAACGCTGAGATTCCAGTGGGGGGAGGCATGTTTGGGCTTTCACTGCCTTTGGTCTCTTGCAAAAATCACAAGCAGGCTTCTCAACTTCTTCCTTTTAAGCAGAATAAACCACAAGACCAAGTCTACCCTTTGTCTCCCTGTGGAGGCTATTATGGAGGGACACTGTGGCATTTGTCGCTAATGATTGTTATTAGTGGGGTCCAGCCTAATAATTTAGATTATTTCCCAAACCCTCCGGTGTGGAACTGAGTGAGAGTAAGACACATGACTTAATGCACTAATGACTATGTTTAATTACGAGCAGTGGGGAGTTTTGAAAAATGTCCCTTCTCTCTTGACAGCATCCTTTTGTAACTCATTGATCCAGAGCCTGGAGTCAAACCCTTTAACCAAAATAGCCTGGAGGGCAGCAAAGCCACTGGTGATGGGAAAAATCCTCTTTACTCCAGATTCCCCTGCTGCGAGAAGGCTAATGCAGAATGTAAGACCCAGCTGGTCTAGTTCTCTTATGTCTTGGACCTCCCAGAAGACAATGGTGTGTGTGTTGTGGTGTGTGTGTGTGTGTGTTGTGTGTGTGTTGTGTATGTGTTGTGTTTGTGTTGTGTTGTGTGTATGTTGTGTTGTGTGTGTTGTGGTATGTGTGTGTGTGTTGTGGTGTGTGTGTGTGTTATGTGTGTGTTGTGGTATGTGTGTGTGTGTTGTGTTGTGTGTGTTGTGGTATGTGTGTGTGTTGTGGTGTGTGTGTGTTGTGGTATGTGTGTGTGTTGTGGTGTGTGTGTTGTGGTATGTGTGTGTGTTGTGGTGTGTGTGTTGTGTTGTGTGTGTATTGTGTTGTGTGTGTGTTGTGGTATGTGTGTGTGTTGTGGTGTGTGTGTGTGTTGTGGTGTGTGTGTGTGTGTATTTAAATATGGTCCTGCCAGTGACTCCCCTGCTTGTTTTCCCCTAAGTGGACTCCTGGGTTTCCTCCCCCATGCTCAATCATGGTAGGAATGCCTTGCTCTGGTGCCCTGCTTGGACCTACCCTCTCTGAAGCAGCCTGCGATGGAGTTTCTTTCCCACTGTGTGACTTATATCCCTAATGGAAATGTTCAGCATTTTCTGATCCCTGGCTTCCCAGGACAGGCAAAAATGAGGAGGAAGAATATTTGCTCACTAGGATCCCCATTGTCACTTAATGAGGCTTGGAAACAATAACATCTTTGTTGCATGTACCCCTGAGATACTAACAAATTAAATTCTGTAGTCTGGTAAATGGCATTACTCAGAACAGAAAGGCACTTCCAAGAAGAGCCTTGTGGGCTGGAGAGATGGCTCAGCTGTTAGGAGAACTGGCTGTTCTTCCAGAGGACCAGGGTTCATTTCCCAGCTCACAACTGTCTGTAGCTCCAGTTCCAGAAGATTTGATAACTGTTTTCTGGCTTCCGTGGGCATAAGGCATACATAGACATACATAAAGACAAAACACTCATATACTTAAAATAAAATAATAATGATAAAAAAAGAAGAAGAAAAAAAGGAGGAGAAGGAGGAGCTTTGCCCAAACATTATGGGTTTATGGCAAGAGAAGGAAAAATAAAAGCAAAGGCTTTTGTTTTGTTTTGTTTTGTTTTTCTTACATTTTCCTCTCTTTTCTCTCTATGTGTCTGTTTTCAGGCCAACTCAACTTTTGAAGAACTGGGTCGAGTTAGGAAGCTGGCCAAAGTGTGGGGTGAAGTGGGACCCCAGATCTGGTACTTCTTTGAGAAGAGCACACAGATGACCACGATCAGAGTAAGGATGCCCACGAGATAGGATGGGGAAGAAGAAGGAGAAGGGCCACCCAGTTCATCCCTACTCAAGGCAGACCAAGCCGGAGCAAACAGAACCCCAGGCACTAGTCTGGAAACTGTCATCAAATGGAGTCACTGGCGTTGGGTGGGGAGCATGTTTCTTAAATTCTGGAGGGAAGTTAAAAGTTACAACAAAATCAGTATCTTTCCCATGAATTCACTTGAGGGCCTCAGGTTTCAAAAGGGTGTCTCCTGAAGAGGCCAACTCTATACTGCCAAGATGGTCACTTGTGTCTGTCTGGCCTCATCTGCAACTTTGTGAAGCCAAGAGTCAAGAATTTTCAGTAGAAGGGAAATTAAAATAAGAACAAAACAGAAAGCCAAAAAAAGGAAATTCTCTATGTCATTTACATGCTCACTAACACCCCTCCCATACTGCATCTCGTCTGTCCTCTACCCTAGAGGCCCTGTGTTTGAAGAAAATGATAAAAGTGCATATGCCTTATAATAGGAGGAAAGCTTGTTTAGTGAGCCTTCGTGTCTCAGTCATTACACATTAAAAATCTGACATGTTCTAAGAATAAGGCCAAAATGCCTGTGGAATTCTTAATTTCTGTGATTACGTTTCTTTTTCCCAAGGATATCCTGAAGCATCCAACAGTAAAAGACTTTATAAACAGGCAGCTTGGAGAAGAAGGCATTACCACCGAAGCCATATTAAACTTCTTCCCTAATGGTCCCCGAGAGAACCAGGCTGATGACATGACCAGCTTTGACTGGAGGGACATATTTAACACCACGGACCGCTTCCTACGCCTGGCTGATCAGTACCTGGAGGTAAGAGGCAGAGGTCCGCTGAGGACCGTAGTGGGCCTCAGATGATGTCATGGGTAAGGCTAGTGACCTGTTGTTAGCCAGTCAGCTCGTGTTGGACTCAGTCTTCCATCCTTTCTGTGAAGAAGTCAGAGTTCCATGGCCATCTAACAGGATCTTCTCTGGAAGTTCCTCTACGATTGCACAAAGCTCTCCTCACATCTTGCTAACTCTTGACACACCTGGCTCTCTCCTCCCTTTTAGCACACGTCCGTCCTCAATTCTTTTCCACCTGCCACTGTTCCAATGACTCTCTACTGGCCAGTGTCCACTACACCTTGAGTCTGAGTCTCATGGATTTCCGGACACCCCTACCCCAAAGTCCTAAGGGTGTGTAAGACCCAACATGTGTCAAAACAAACTTATGTCTGCTTTTCCTAGTAGGCACCCGTATTTCTACTGCCAGTTCATTTCATCAGCCTTTGCTCAGATTCTCAACCTAAGAACTTCAGGGTCATCTTTAAGTTTTCTTTCTTTTTCACTATCAGTGAAAGCCGGGTTGTACACTGGGGATTGCTTGCTGCCATTTCTGTGCTACATGTTTTTGCCTCCACTTGCCTTATCTCATCCTCCAGCAATTCCATGAAGTGTGCCGTGTTATCACTGCCAGTATGTAGACCAAGAAGCCAAGGCTTAAAGAGGTTGAATAAGATCCCACAGCCATTAGGAGTACCAAGTAGAGTCCAAATTTGGGTGTGCCTGAATTCGGAGCCAGCCCTGATGACCTCTTTCTTCCTCTGTCACACCCAGTCACAGCGCTCTGTCTTTTCTGCCTCCTAAATGTCTCCGAATTCTGCCTCTTGCTCTCCGGGCTCTGTGAGGGCTGGAGGCCTTTGTACCAGCCTGTCCGAGCAGCTCTCTGCCTGGATTCCAGACTTCTGTCTCTGTTAGTGCAGGCATCCCTCCACACAGACACCGGCGTCGCATTCCAAACACATCTGCTTGCATCACTCGAATGTTTAAAGGCCCCAATGACTCAACGCCAAAGCATTTAGCCTGTTCCTCTCCTTCGGTAGAGCCTCAGCTGCTGACAGCCCTCAGTGCTCATCCTTACACCAAAAATTCCACAGAAGGAGGGAACGCCTTTCTCACAGCATAAGCAATACCCCCAAAGGGATCTCCGCTCCACCAAGCTTCTGGACCTTAATGCCTTGAGAGGGGAGTAGTTCTGACTTGGGAGGCCTGGAACAAATGCTGCCATGGGGAACTTTAAGCAAGATTCTTATGAAGTGAGGGAGGCATTTTCCCAAAAACAAATGCATAGTTACTCAAGGCCAAAATGACTTTTGCTTTTGCCACTATCTACCTGTTTATTCTTTCTGTTTCCTTTGTGATGCTTGTGGTAAAATCCAAGGCCTCATACATGCCAGGCAAGTGCTCTATGACAGAGCTGTGTTTCTCCAGTCCTACTCATCTATACTTTGAGATTTGGCCCTCAGGTATTCCTTCGACTTTCACTTAGGCTTAGACATTCACTCCTTCGTGATCCGCAGCCCTCTCCTCATAACCCTCAGGCTCCTGTCCATGTCCAGGTAGAGTGAGCTGTCTGTGTTGTCCATTTCTGGCTTGAATAGCTAGACGTATGGCATAAGTGGGCACATTTTTGTCATCTTCATATTCTCATCCTCATAGCCCCAGGAACTTTCACCTGTAAAGGATGATCACATCCAATGGGCTGGGCCTCAACCTTCAAATATCTAAGGCCATTAGGAAGTTCAAGGTGCTTCTAGAAATAGGGATGAGAGTTAATCTGAGGCCTATAGGAGTAAGCTCTTCTATCCCAGATGATGGGTCCTAAGAACAACTCACTAGTCAGAAAAGTCTGGCTTTATGTGTTCTTGGTTGCTCTTGAGGGTTCCCTGGTGCTCAGGAGCCACCAGCACTTCGCTAGAGTGTGTGAGACTCCTTCTCCTGAACCCTGGACGTTGACATCACTGCACACGCTCCTGAGGTAGTTTCTCAGCAAATATGAAGCATGGTGTCAGCGGCAGAGCCAGCGTTGATGCAATCTCCATCTTACCAGAAGACAATAATGACCTTGAGAGTCTTTTTATAAAACAAATTCTGAGCTGGATGGCCTGAGCCTTTCATCTCAACATACAGGAGGCAGAGGCAGATGAGTTCAAGGCTCGCCTGGTTTACATAGAGAGTTCCAGGACAATTCAGAGTTGTTACACAGAGGAACTCTGTCTCAGAAAATCACAAACAAACAAACAAGTAAGCAAGCAAAAACCACGTTTTGATGAGCCAGACTAACTGACTCAGAATTTCCACAGAAGAGCCCTGGTATCGCATGTATATTTACAGATCTGGGGGAAAGGGGCTTGCTGCGCCCATGTACAGTTACCAATTGATTTCTTCCCTCACAGCTAAGCCCTGGCTAGTCCCACCATCTAATCTTAGTACAGACAGAGCCTGTACATGGGCATGGATGGACAAGGGAGGTGTTTTATTTCTATTGTGGTGCTCACAACATTTTTGTGAGGTACATAACAAGTAATTCTTGTCTTTGCTTGATTTTGTGTGTTGATATGAAGTTTCTTCCTTCCTTCCACACTCTGCCAACTGAGCTATATACTCAGTCCTAAAGGAATTGTCTCCTAAGCATCTTGTGTTTAATATAGTAGCAATAGATGTTTGACAGGTATCAGTCTTTTAAATAGTTAAGATTTTTTTTTCCTAGACTCAACTCTCTAATATTTATTCTCTAGTCTTTATCTCTGTGAAATTTTAGATTTTAGGAGTAGTTACCTGATACTTGGTTTCTTCTAAGATTTAAATAAGCTAAATTGTGCAAGATACTGTCATTAAAGAAACATTAATCAATCTCAAAATTTAATTAAAGTGTAAATAAACCTGGCCTAAGAGCAGCCTAGCCACCACTGAGCCCAACTGGTGGCTCTCTTGAACTCATGAAGCTGCTGACCATATACCTAGCTTCTAGGCCACGGGGATTTCCCCAGGGCTTTGAAGTACAGACCACTGTGACCAAGAGTCAGTGGCCTCCTCAAGGGGACCCCTACAAGGCTTTTGATAATGGCAGAAGTAATGATTCAGTTTCTTATCATCTTGCCCTTGGGGGTGGGGGAAGCAAGGAGTTAGGGGACAGGAAGAAGTTACAGTGGGGGAGAAAGGCAGTGAAGGACAGAAAGCCACTGCAGTCTATCTCAGATTCTCTGCATTTGCTCTTGTGTTTTGGGTGTCTGGAGGAGCCTTGAAAATCCACCACTCCATTCCAAAATGCCTGAGTAGCATACTTGCCATAAAACCCCTCTCTGATGGTTCTAAAGGTTTCCCCAGGACAAGAAAGCTAGTATGTTGCCACCTTTACCTTACTTAAGAACTCTAGCTGGGTGCCTCCTTTTCCATTATGGGGCTTGCACTAAGGAGACTGGAATACTTCCTTATGGGCCAATGCCCACAACCCTGTCTGTTCTAAGAACCAAACCAAAAACACTTAAGGAAAACTAGGCAAATGAATTCTGCTACCCACAACAATGGAACACTTAATTGTGATACTGAAAAGTAACAGAGGCTCTGAGAACAAAGAACATATCTTTGAGCCTTCCCTCATTTCGGGAAGTGAGAGTGATTCGGCAGATTGTCTTCTCAGGGACTAGAAGAACTAAATCTCTTCCTTCCTGCTTAGGGTGAGGCCCTAGCTGCTGACTGCCCCATGGAAGATGAAGGATATCCATTCTCCTCAATCTGCCTTGTGGGTCCAAGTTAAACAGCTGCCTATGGGGCTGTCTCACCTGTCCCACGGGGGCTGTGGACCAGAATATCCGCTTCTTATTAGTCATTCTGAGAAATCTGACACTCTAAGGCTTGATTTTCTTGTATGTACACAGACCCTCAAAAGGTCATTGTTGAGAACAGGGTTAGAGAGGAGCACAAGGACACAGCACTTGGAGCATTCATCAGACCTGTCTGTAAATGCTAGGCTGGGCAGGGGCTGCTCTTCATCTGGAAAGTGGGGTGATTACAACCCCTCTCCACAGTGGCTGTGGGGGTGACCTGAGACGCTCTGGGCCCACACCAAGGACGTGTACACATGGCAGCTGCTGCTCTGATCTGTGAATCAAGTACAGAATGTAGCTTTTCTCACACCCAGACACTTCATAAGCATTAGTCAAGGCTTGTCTTGCTGAACTCTGGCTTAGCCCTAGTGAGTGAATAGCTTAGAGTCACAGCAGGTCTGCCTATTTCCAGAGGCTAGGAGGAAAGCTCTGGGGGATGAAGGACTTGGACAGTGACCCAGAGGGCAAAAACTGTCTTTAGCCTCCAACCACCTTCTGGATAAAGCTTTCCATGGGCTCTCAAGCATCCTATAGCTAAGTTCCATCTTCCCGCTGATCCTGAGAAATGAAGGCAAAAGTGACACAGACCTCTTGGTTAGAAGGTAGACAGTTGTCTGGGGACAGAGATGCTGATGACAATCGAGGACCTCCACATCTCTCACATGTGGGAAGGCTTACATGTGGCCCAGACACTGTCCCATCACCCACTTCTCCACATCTAGGGAACCGGAAGTTTAACGAAGACTTTATGGGTAATAATTTATGCGTGGGGGAGATGTTTGTTTGTTTACTTTGTGTGTGTGTTGGAGGGCAGCGTAGAGTCTGCCATGACGTGCAAATTAGAGGACAACCTGTAGAGTGATTCTCTCCCTCCACCATGTGGTCTTTTGGGGTTGGACTCAAGTTTTCAGGCTTGGTAGCATGTGACTTTACCCACTGAGCCATCCTGCTGGCCCACATTTAGGTAAATATCTTATATGCATGCATATTTTATTAATAACCTATATTTGCCTGTATCCATCTGTTTTCTATAGAGAAACAGTTATCAAAATTAACAAATTATTCCTCTTATTCCTTTTTAGTTGAAATAAATATTTATACTTTTCCTCTTTAATTCATTTTGTTGTTGTTCAGCAAAAGGTTAGGCCTAGCATAAATCAAACA